CATTCATGATCACTCTCAGGCTTCTCTCGGCTAATACACCAAAAATTAATGTTTATATCATAGATTATAATTGTTCAAAATTTTAACAATCATGCGAACTTTATGGCGAACTTTCATAAAATCGTCGGTCATCAATACTATTTCAGTGTAAAAACCAATTTAATTCAGGTCAATATAATTCGAAATGGTAAACCTATCTATCTATTTTATCAATTGAGAATTTTCATGTTTGCTGCTCTCTTTCAATTTTATTTCGAGTTACAATCTTTCACTCATGAGATAAATGCAATACAAGTAAACTCTGTCGGCAAGTGTATGTATAATGTATAGTTCTCCTACTTCAACGAATTCCACATTTTCATTCGAATAAACAATTTTTTCATTTCTTTTCCAATTATATGTATTTCGTCTCAATTCTCTTTACTGCGATATTATCACGATATTATCAATCATACGAACTCCATGGATCAATTAATATCTCTCGGTTTATATCTCGAGAAGTTATTTATGACTTACTTAATTATTTCTGTCACAGTACATCTGTCACGGTATATATTTCATCACAGAATAATTCTTTTTCTTATTCTAAATTTTTTACAATACAAATGCGACATAACACGGAAAATCGGAAGTTCAAGTCATTTACACGACATATTAGTGTAGCTCTATTTGTGTAGCTGCACTTCTGGTTGTAAATCTCTATGCAAAAATAAGCAAATTATATTTCATTAAAATTAAGCCAGTAAAAAGAGTGCTACCTATATTATAGTATAGTAGAGAAGTGTCATGAATAAAAAGAGTTTAAAAATGAATTCTCCTATAGCGTCGACTTTTGCAAAATTAATGTTTCTCATTATAAAATAAAAATTGTATAGAAAATGTGAAAAAAATTTTATCTTACTTCATTCATTTTCTTACTCTCAAGTCTTACCGCTATATAATTGTACGCAATGATAAACCAAAGTGAAGTCGTCAAAAGATAAATTGGAATTCGATTTCTCATTGAAAGACACTTGTTTTTCACTTTTTATATGTGTACTTTTTAGTATGTTGTCATTATTATCCATTTTTAAAGCAAACAGGATTCGTAAGGATCCAATAGCATATTAATTCGATATTTGAGCAATAAGTATATGGATCGTCGCGTGGGACGATACGAAACATGTGTTGTTCGAAGGCGCAGAATCAAATACAGTGAATTCCTAAATTCTTTTCAAATATTTATCGACGCAACACTCATGAATGGTTCCCATATCAGCTTATCTATTATATTCTAACGTCCAAGTAACGTTACTCGATTGATCATGTGTTTCCTATTTCAAATATCTCCGTGTTCCAGGTAATTATCACAATGTTAGCGGATTACAGTTTATCTTTTTAAAATGTGACAATAATTATAGATCAATTGTAATATTCAATAAGTCTCTATTATTATAAAAGGCGATTAAATCGATTGTGATACAGTGAACGAGAATACGTTTTTATTTTTATTCCTAACAAGAATTTTATTGTTTATCAAATAATAAAATATTTTATTGTTTAAATAAAATCTTTTTTGCTTCTCCTTTCCTCTGAGAAAAAAATGTTTGTACATCTTTATGAGAAATCTCTTAGATCCATTCCCATTTGTCGAGGCGCGGAAGCTCGGTCAGTGTCTCGGCCACCCTCGTGCTGTGCAGTTTGCGAGGAGGGGACCGGTTGGCATCCCCTTTGGACACACATATCCCCCTCCCTCGCTTCATCTCTCTCTCGACTTATATATATAATGCCAGTACGAGCGCGCGCTTTCGAACAACGCGTTCCTGTCTGCTGCGAGGGATACGATCAGTCTGTTCTCCACGTTCTCCACGCAAGGACGATAACTGTCCGCTCCGTTCGGCGAATTGTGAATTTTAATTGTTTATTAGTTAAACTGAATTACATGCGTTCGGAATAACGCGTCGCAATTGAATATACATGTAGACACATTCCGTGCGAATATTCCCTTGCGTTCGCTGCTCACACGTGTCATCGCGAGATGAAAATGTGCGGGACACGATTAATGTGACCGATGATTTGCTCAAATTAAAAAAATTAACGCTACATTTGCACGCATAGATTTTCTTTTACTGATATAAAAATGTATATGCGT